AATCACGGAAGTAAATAGTGAAATATTTAAAAATTAACAGACGTCAATGATACAATAATAATTACGAGATTCCAATGAAACTCGATGGAAAATATTATCTAAATTCTTCCTCAAACTCGATCCGCTTCTAATTATAATTACTTGGACTATGATTAGGATTATGATTACAAGAGCCTCCAATCACGAAAGTAAATAGTGAAATATTTAAAAAATAACAGACGTCAATTTCCAATGAAACTCGATGGAAAATATTATCTAAATTCTTCCTGAAACTCGATCCACTTCTAATTATAATTACTTGGACTATGATTAGGATTATGATTACAAGAACCTCTAATCACGGAAATAAATAGCGAAATATTTAAAAAATAACAGACGTCAATGATACAATAATAATTATAAGATTCCAATGAAACTCGATGGAAAATATTATCTAAATTCTTCCTGAAACTCGATCCACTTCTAATTATAATTACTTGGACTATGATTAGGATTATGATTACAAGAGCCTCCAATCACGGAAGTAAATAGTGAAATATTTAAAAATTAACAGACGTCAATGATACAATAATAATTACGAGATTCCAATGAAACTCGATGGAAAATATTATCTAAATTCTTCCTGAAACTCGATCCACTTCTAATTATAATTACTTGGACTATGATTAGGATTATGATTACAAGAGCCTCCAATCACGGAAGTAAATAGTGAAATATTTAAGAAATAACAGACGTCAATTTCCAATGAAACTCGATCGAAAATATTATTTAAATTCTTCCTGAAACTTGATCGACTTCTAATTAGAATTACTTGGAGATATTTAATTTATCTCGAACGATACGAGTATAAATTTTAGTATAATAAGTCGAAGCATCTTATAAGCGATTAAATTTGATTGTCGGATGTGAAAGGAAATAGTAAGTTTCTATACTATTATTTTCGTTGACGTAACATTTTCAAAGTGCCCGTTTGCCATCGCTTAAAAATGATTGCCTGTAACTTTAAACATGACCTACTTTATTTGTGCACGCGTGTGCACGTGTACGGAAAGGTCTGAGCTGCGTCAGGTGTTTTTCGTTACAGTACAGAACACGTACACCAGCAAGTTTTGATTGCCTCCGAAACTTTTGTACGGCACCAAGCCACCGGAAATTCGCCGGTGCGAGTAATGTAACTCGCGCGAGTTCCTGGCAATAAAATTATTCGACATCTGTGTTTCAGAAATTTTATGCCCCTTTTAGTAAAATCGGAACGTCGTCTCTCCTTCGCTTTCGTTAAATTTTTACGCCCCATCACTAATACTGTGTTATCAAATAAAGTTAATAAATATCGAAAGTATGATGAACTGAAAAAGTAATTCATAGTTTGGAAAACTATTTTCAAACTTATACTAGTCTTTACGATTTAAAGTGCAATATTTTTAATCTGAGATTTTTATAAATAATATGTGACAGTTTTTATTCTGTACACATCTGACTTATGGTCGTGGATATTAAATAGACGGTTAATTAATCATCTGCTTATCTAAATACGGTCACTTATGAATATTTTGAGAATTTTTTGTTAGCGACAAGAATATTATTTTTCTGCTCCGTTTGTGTAACATAGAGGTACGAAACTATAGAAGATATCTTCTATCTTCCAGTTTAATTTCATATCTCTATGAATTACAAAAGAGCATTACGTCTCTATATAATATTTGCAATTACATGTAACACGTAAATCTTATCCATTGCAAATTAAAATTAGGATTTATTTACAACAGGAATTCTCACCTATCATGGTCTAATTATTACGTATTCGTACATTTGTACACGTGTAAACGTATTAAATGAAACGATTATCCTGCCTTTCTGAAATATCTCCATTACTTAAAAATGTACACTAACGTAACGCAAAGAATTTTACAAAATTTTAATAATTGTTAATCTTTAAAAAAAAAGTAAAATCTGCTGCAAGAGCTGAATATATTGAAAATTGTTAATTCGATACATTGTTTCATAGAATTCACTGATTCATCTGGTTAAAATGAAGACTTGGCCAATATTCCCCCACCCCAGGGATCTTGTCTAAGTCGTACTATACGTTATATCTGTACAGACTGTAAAATTTCTCTACATTCTTACGTTTTATGGAAGATTAAGTGAAAGTTGTATTCAGAATCAATTGAAAAAGTTCGTCGAAATTACACGCATTCGAATTAAACTCTTTTTCGAAAGAAGAGAAAATTTCCATTAAATGTAACCAATCGTCGCGTTTTAAATTTAAATTTCATACACACCTTACTAGAAAATATTCTTCTATTTGATTGTACGAATCTTAACACGATTGATACGTTTCAAGATATGCGATATCTTAGATTATTTCAACCGTTTAAGTCGTTTTAGGTCTTGATAACAACTTGGCACGTGATTTCAATTGTTAACTTGAAAGATTGTCATTGATATCAATGATTGGGAACAATTAGAGGGATAAAAGACATTTGGGCAATCATGATCGCCTGATATTCGAAGCCTCGAAAGAATTACGTTGATTGTACACAAATCTATATTTGATATTTTTAATGTCGTAAAGAGAAATGTCCACGAATGTAAAATTACTTTAGAAGAAACCTCGAACAATAATTTCCTCTAATTTTATTATTAAATTTATTGATTGCGATAGGGGTATGCTCCACAAAATAATTGTGTACTTGTTCCGAGATTATCAGAATAGTTAACATTCTTATTGTTAGAAGCAATAGCAGAATATCGTTTCTTTTCTGGCTGTATTCGTAAACACGTCATATTTGAATTATTTAAGAGATTAATAACAAAGTTGGAACATCATATTCAGGTACTCTAATCCTGACTCGTGAGGATATTTCACGTTCGAAATTTTAAACATTGTGGAAATGATAATTTATGATAAAGCACACAAACACCATCGTATTTGAACATAGCATCAGGTATAAATAAAAAATAAATTTCGTTACTCGAGAGTCATTGAACGCAACGCAATGTACCATATTGTTTACTGTTAATCAATTTTAAATCAAATCGATCGAAGACAGCATTTGTGTACTCCCCCACGATTTTGTACACTCGAGCGAAACAATTCTATCCGTACTATTGATAACAGTAGAATAAAATTGATAACCTCTATTCTACCAGTTCTTACGTTTAACTATGGTAGTATGGCTAGAATAGTTTGAACCGAGCGTACGTCTAATATATATTCATTTCTGCACGAAGCATTAATATTAAAATTCATGTACGTTTGCGGATCACGTAGGTTACAGTCAATTCGATTCTCGATAACATTTACGAGCAATACACGTTTTATTTACTGTAAATAGTTCTTCTGCGTCGCAGATATTTGTAGAAGATGAATTCGAACTAGAATTACGACTGTAGTTGGACCAAATTCAACCAACCGTTGCGTTGGCGGCCAATGCAACGCGACTGCGCGGAAGGGACACGTGACCTAACATAGAGGGCGCTGCCAAACAATATGGCGGAGGTGCCAGTTGGAGTTCGATCCGACTACAGTTCGAGATTTACATCGATTGTCGAAAAGTGGCTCGTTGATTAATTTGATAGGATTCTCGTTCGCATGGAACAGTCACAGGGAACATTTCAGAATATATGACTCAATATGTAAACGGAATATAACTATTATGCACGTTGTAATGTTCTAATCTCATCAAATAATAAGAATACGTAAAACTTACGTAAATAAAGACGCACGGAAGACTTTAATTTCGAAAATAAGAACATAAACTATTCCCCACCTGTCGGTCCTATGATTAGATTTAAAAAAACTACGAAGAAGGAAGTACATTATCTTAGCTGATTGAATCTTATTATAGTATTATCTAAAAAGGAAAAGATTTTTAAGGAACGTTACTCTACATCCTCGGTGAATGACTTTTGCTTAAAGGTACACAATCACCTATCCTCGATTGTGCAAGTACAGTTCAATTTGGCAAGTAATTCGTCATTAAATTTATCACCATATATAGAGAAATTCGGATTGAAAGTGATAATTTGTATTTTTGTCTCGTAACATAACGCGACGAAACGTACATAATCAATTCAGCTTGATAAATAATTCTCTTATTTTAACGCGCCGATACGCACAACAATGGCTTCGATAATACAATTACCAGATAGTAACATCGAAAGTGTCACCGAGAAAAATTTTAAACGAACGTTCCTCGGAATCGCCCCGATCGCGTTCGCGGCGATACGGAAATTTCCATTGCGAAGTTCAACTCTGCACGCCAAAACGGAGAAACGAAATTATGCCGGAAGCTGTACAATCTTAAGCTATATTATTTTACATTAATCCCGTTACCGATAAAATTTGTACACAGATACATGACAGCACGATTGGAAATACACTCTTTCTCGAGAACACACAACGATTTATGAACCAAATATATGCAATCCGTTCAAATCATCAACGAATCCCGACGTAACGAAAAATGGCCGAATTGATAGGTAACTGAAGGTCCACGAATAAGGTCTGGCATTGCGTCGTTACTCTACTGATTGTCAAATACAATTTCCAACCTCATCCCCCGTTTTAATATAAATTTCCATTTGAACTCGTCGTGTAGTTAATACTGCTCGTATTTAGTTAACTGAAAATCATCAGAAAAATCCATCCAACTTCGACGATAGCGTCCATCCGTTTAACGTCCTCTCTCGACGAACTATATATTCTCGGTAACAGTAATAAGTACAGTATAACAAAATAAGTAAGAATATCCCGTGGTATCGTTTTGTACACGTTCTTCGGTTGCAGGTACTCAAAATAATCCTGCGTTACAACAGAAATCGTCAAAACCTCGAAATCGATCCTCGAAGGTAGTGCAGTCTGATCGATCGACGGATCCGTAAACGTTCTCTTCCCACCTCCCCATCCCCCATACCCCCCTAAATCTGTACCGTTTTGAATTCGATCGACATTCACGAGTCCAAGCATAGAAAACGTGGACGTTACTGTGACGACATGCAGAAGTGGACGGGGTCGAAAACGCAATTCTTCGTCGTCTACGCAAAATCGCGATAACATCTGACATCTACGTATTGAAAGAAACTCGAGGAACTGGATACACTTGCAGGTTAGGCTCTGGATTACAACATTAGCGTAACATTAATCCCCGATTCTCGCGTTAATAACTGGAAAAGCATCGACTCGTCGACTTGTTGCATCGACGATTTATAATTCAACATTCAATATGGATCTCTTCGCGGCCGGGTGTCTTACTCTAGAAAATAGCTCGAGGACAATGGGGATAATTTACGTGTAATTCACCGGTGCTCGTCTTCATTTCGTGGGCGTGTTGCTCACGGAGGGTGGCAGATTAATTAAGGTCGAATTACTTAGCCTGGACGTCCTCGGCTCGATCTCCAGCGATATGCGATACAGGTCCTTCTCGTTCAGTAGCAACGAAGGATCCAGCAGATAGTTCGTCACTTTTGGTATCAGTTCGATCTTGTACGGCGTTTGCTGGAAATGCCGTATTTCACGGATCACGTGAGCAAGCTGGAACATTTAAGGAACGATGTTGGTTAAACGTACACAACATCACACAGGACTTCTTCGTGTCAGTGAACAACAGATTAAGAAGTGGCCGTACAAAAATAACACACCTACCTCCTGTCGATGTTTCTTAAAAATTCGTTTTTATTTTTTAATAAATTTGTTTAGCGCTCTACGAAAATGTTGTTTAATACTTTTTTGTGGGTATCCATGAGCTCTACTTTAGAAAGAAATTTCGATGAAATACATTTACTATTGTAGGGGATCATCAGATTGGAACACGAAGGTCCATAAGGCGTAAAGTCTACTCGTATACCAGTGCTTTCACGCCGATCGAACGTGTCACGTACCATTCGCATTTTTGAAAAATTCAAAAGGCCGTCCTCGGTCTTGGTTGGTGTACCCTCTTCAATGAAAGACAAATCGGTCAGGTACAATCCTAAATAAGGAATACAGGGTGGATCACAACGGTGCAACGCCTCTCTTAAGTTTCTGAACCGACCGTCCGAGGAAACGATGTTTTGGAGTCTCTCGATAGTCTGTTTCGTCTGTAAACGTACAAAATAAATATATTGTATACTTCGTGTTTGAAGCTTTCGATTATACGAATAAACGTTACCGCTAAACTGCGCATTTTTATGCATTTAATATGCAAAAATATAAGAAATACGAATTATTATATTTAGGGGTCGAGACAACCCTCTACGAAGCTCCCATTTAATTAATTCTATGCATTTGCATAAAGATTCACAAAGTTGAAGCATTTCTTTTACAAGGAACTGTATATTTTTCAATTTGCAACAGTATAGGTCGCAATTTTGACAAATTCAATAGTGAATCAAGGTCGTAGACAAAGAATCGTTTAGCTTCGAACTTGGCGCCATTTTCAATCGATAGTTTCTACTGCTCACCGTTTTCGAAACCTTTTCCCAAGTCTTTTTCAGCCTGAAGACACTGCTGTTCGTGAAGGCTGCGCAAATTTGCAGCACGCCATTGTAATTGTGCAGAACTCTGCTGATGTCCGCTACGGTCGCCCATTTCTCGATCGCCGCGACCCTCGCCAACAGGTTCGAACGTTGAATGATTTCGGAGACAACCAGCTGAGAGACTTCGTTGAATCTTTTCGTCATCAGGATTATATGAGGAGCACGACTCGCCTTATCGGATTTCATCCACGCTTGACCAAGAAGTTCTCTGTACAAGAATTTCAACGATTCAAGCGTCTTTCGTACATTTTTTTATATTAAATAAAGTTTAATTAAATCTTAAATTCTTCCGAACGATCGGTTCGATCATTGAACATTTAATCGTTTTATTTACTTACTCGCTAGATATCGATATGAAGATCTTGTGATCCAAATACGTCATCTGTTCCGCGATTTCCAGCGCAGACAGTGTCTCGATGCTCTCTTTGCTTTGAACCTGGAATCACAGATGTTTCGTCGAATATTTAAAACATTTCGAAATTTATCTGAATGAGGGGGTCAAATGTGCCCTTGAACAAAATTTGAGAAGGGAAAATTCGGATTATCCTATTTTCTGTATTCAATCGAGTACGAAAACTATGTAAAAAATCCGGTTGAAGGGTACATTTCACCCCCCCCCCCCTACTCAGCTGTACCCTTTATGTCATAACATTCGCTCAAACTATTTCTTTAATCGTGCATAGTTATGGACTGTTGGAAGAGAAGATGTTGGCACACTATTCACAAGCTAATACCTTTCTTGGGTTCTTGGTTATTATTGGGTAAGAGCCTACACAGTGGAGGGGATTGGGCGGAGCATACAAACTCCCCCCCCTGCGTTGTTTAGCTTGCCAACATCTCGTCTCGCAACAGTACAAGTGCAGACTTTCTCATCTCAATTATGTAACCACATTAATTACTATTTACATAACCAAAAACAAAATTGAATATCTTCACTGGCTTCTAAGAAGCAACGTATAAAAAAAGAATGAAGTAAATATCATCGAGGCTATAATTTAAAACTTCTGGTTCCTCCTGGCTTTGATAAAACAAAGGCAGCCTATAACTTACATTTTTATAATGTTTAAGTAACTATTTTCGGGATATATACCGTTGGGGGGGCCAACAGCTTCATCAGATCCACTTTGTTGATCTCTGGTTCTTCCTTGGTGATCAGCCTGAGCAGCTGACCGGCAGCTTTGTGCTCGGCTGGCAGCAACTTGGGGCAATAGACAATGTCCTCCAGGAACTCGATCGTCAGGTTCTTCAGTTTCTGATCGGACTCGAAATCGTGGCCGTGTTTCGAGATCCAATGCCTGAGGACGTTCAGTACTCGCATCGTGGCTGCGGTGGACATGCCAGACTCTTTCCGTCTGGTTCTATCGCGGCAGGAATCGATGCGATTGTTCCCATTGATCTCTTTGTCCGGAGGATTGCTGGACGCGGACGTCGCGATCGCGAACGCAGTCGCAGCCTTCGACGTGCTGCTCCTAAATATTTAAAAGCGAACATTAATTTCGTCAGCTTCGGTCTTCGATGGAAATATTTATCGCGGGACGAAGATCATTTTGCACTATCATCTGCACTTTCGTCGTCGCGACTATTTTTGAGAACAACACGTGACACATTGAAAATGCACCAGCCAACGGATAATTCACGAGCAAATCGTCAATATTTTCTAAACGTTACCTTTGCATTTTCTAAGATACCTTTAAACATTTAACGACTTTGTTCTACCATATTGACATCACACACGTAAGGTTCAAGGAAACTATAGCTTGTACGCTGAAAGGGAGTATTAATAATACGAAATTTTTACGACGTTCGATAACATTCTTATGCGTTAACAGAACTTCGAAGGGGCCCTGTTAGTTTTTTAAAGTTTCGATGCTACTACAACTTTCTGTTTGATTTCACAACATATGCTCGAGAATAGTGAATAATTATGTTAAAAAAATTGCACAATATTCTCTCCAATGCAATCTACAAAACTGCTCCATACACAGTGAAAGAATTTATTCTAGCTTTGTCTACAAATCATTCGAAATATGCTGAAACTTTCAACATTTTCAACTCAAAAGTGAGTACGGATAATTGTACAATAAATTGATAACATTTTCGTTCGTAGCTTCAACCATTATGATAGTTTTAACAATATAATGATATAATTAATTTTCCATTGATGCAACTTCCATTTCCTACTTTAATTTTCGGAAATAATTAAATTACAATTAAATTGTATCATCGATTAATAATTAAGATTAAATCCTTCTATGTTTCTTATTATATGTAAATTATTTTTTTCAGCACATTTACGTAATCTTGTGATATTTAATACGATGTAAGATCAATTTTTCCAAACTTTAGGGAAACAGTTGTAACGGACAATCAGCCTATTACGAATGATTCTTCTAATCTAATGTGCAACTAATGTACATCCCAACTAATGTACACCTGAGCGTCTAATAAACTAACAAATACCAACAATCCAAATTATACATTCGACAGCTTGTCATACAAACTGTAAGTATAAGTGGTGAATATTCTAAACGCGGACATCAAGTGACAGAAGGCGTCTAGTAGGTTAAAACTATTTCTATTTCGTTTAGCTCGTTCGTGATCTTGATGCAGTGCAGCTTGCAGCGAAGTCAAATCATGTGACAAATATCGTGTACTTAAAAATTATTCGACACGACGCAGGAAATTAATTGACCATCAAGAAATCTTGTCATCGAGCTTTAAAAAAAACGTTTTAGTAAGATCCAATTTTGAGGAAATATAAAATTCAATGAAAGTGTAATTGAAAAGGCTCAAAAATTGGGGTCGAAACAATTCTGTAAATTTTTGTAACAGCAACGCAATAAATAAATAATAATTTTTACTAATAAAAATTTGTGTTTGTATAGTAATAATATCTGTTATGGAACTATTAATTACTTCGTATAATATAAATATTATATAGAGTTTTATTTATTATGGTAAACTTTCTCTAATTTAGGAAACAATTACTGAAATATCTATTTCCATGAGAATAATTTTTTTTTTAAATTTGTTCTTGTGATAGAAATAATATTTATTCGCAATGAATTACTTCTTAGGCATTCAAATAGTGGGAATTTTGTTAATGTGTTAATCTTTCGTGTTAATATCTACTTGGTACTTTTGGTCGATTAAAAAATTTATGATTACGTTTATATTGTATGTACATACATTTTCCGCTACTCGTTAATTTAGTAAATACATTAAGAAGAAGTAACAAAAATTAATCGAAACAAAATTGATTAATATTATATGATTTAAAGCAGAACATAAGGAACGAAAAAAGTTATAATTTTGAGAAAAATTCCAAATGGAGGTATGGGCCAAAAATAGTATCGGGTCATTAGGTTAGTGTCTTAACACACGCAGCATCCTCAGTCGTAAATTACAGCCATACTTTGGGGAAGAATGAGTAAATTTCAATATCGAATATCTAAAAAATTATTAACCATATGTCAGTGACTTTAGTGTTTCAAGCACTATCATTGTGCAGAGGCTCGTTAAAAGGAGTTCCCCGCGTCAGCAATAAATTTCTGGCTCCTTCAAGTGACAGAAATTAATTATATACGTACCAAAAAAGAAACAGTGTAGAATTCAATGGATGTTAATTGCAATTCTGGCGGTGCGCGTTCAGTGGGCGTAAACAGTTAATAAAGAGCATAGCGTACAAGTGAATTAGTGATACACAGCTGGTCATGCGGCACGCAGAAGTGGTAACACCATTTTGTTTTCCAGAAAGCAGAGAGGATGACACTTACCAGATGGGTTCAGGTCCAACGCTATGAATGACACAAAACGTCATGTCAAATATAATTGCATTGAAACAACGAAAATAGTATCTTGAGTAACGAAATTAATTCGACGAATTTATTTAAAATGCACTTGGTTTGCAAATACGGTTATTAAACAGAGTATTGCACGGTATTGCAAAGAATTAAACGGAACCCTGGAAAAATTCATTTCGTTAACCACACAAATATAAATTCCAATGGAATTTCGATTAAAAATTTCAATAAAAAAATACTTTGAAATTATATCACGACCCGATTGTTCGTTAATTAAAATGGTTTCTACATACATCCGAATATTTTACATACAAATGGAGCGTAAGAATGAGAAATACATATCGAATGAAAGACAGACTGATGTAGAAATAAAGTTCTCAATTTTTATGCATACAGTATTTTGTACAGTAAAGATACGAATAATTTCTGTTTACGAACAAAAAGGAAGATCATAGGCGGAAGAAAACACGTAAATCGCCGAGACAAAGCACTCATGCGTAAGAAAGTGAAAAATACCTTTATTGCGATAAACATCCAACAGCGATACCGAGAAACGAAATAGAGATAATTTCTTTCTTTTTTTTTTTTGTTAGATAGATACAAACGCCTATACAGATCGGTAATCTTAAACAATGTTCGAGGTGAAGCGTTCGATAAAGAATGTCAATCGTTATGTTAATATTGCTCCATCGGTTCAGCTTAACGTGTACGTCCTATTGTCCTCGAAATATTGTACTTCACTGTTTTCAGTTTTAGCGAATACAGACACGTGATCATAAAATTTCCTTTTTCTTTTTTACCCAGACATCGTACGTGATCACCAGACAAAATAAAAACCCTCGAACCGATCGACATGCGCACTTCTCGTGACGAGTACAACAACATACTGATGTAAACACTTAAACACGTCAGGAATGCACGAACGAACCTTCGTTGACTTTGTCGAAAACTGGTTATCACTACCCCGACTTTGCTGATAACTTGGTCGTGCTGGAAGTTCCCCTGCTTCGATGACATTTCGGTTTCGTGGATCGACCGTCTGCTGGCCCAATAATTCTGCAAAAGGAGAACGGTACGTTTAAGAAAGAAACGCGAGAAAATGTTGCTGCCATTTTCTGTACACAAGGGCAGTGTCCCGAACATATTTATTTTTTAAGGAAAACTTCTGTAATATATATTTTTTTTGTGATTCAAAGATCATCGTTGCTTTCTTAAATGAAACTCTACAGTTCTGTCGTCTGTTTCGTTATTCTTGATTTTCGTTTCGGCGTCCAGAATCACTCCTCTCCCAGGGCCAGCGTATAAAATAACGTTACAAAAATTTATACGTAAAAGTGCTTCGATTTACATACTCCGGTTATGGCAGAAAACGAACTTCTCCTTGCGGTGGTCGCGGGGGCGGAAACGATCGATGCTCTGTGCTCGGCGTAATGCGAAATTTGTTGTTTCTGTTGGTTTTTGAACGGAGATTGGGGTAGCGCGGTCGACCCAGCAACGTCGCTGCCCTCAGCCGAGGCTTTCTTCTCCCTCTCTTTCCATTGCTTGCTGAATTCTGCTTCCCTTTCCGTCGTTTCAGGCACCCTCTTCAGCGGCGTTGATGGCATTTTCGGGGGGCTGTCTTCCTTCGATAATTTCGGCGTTTCAGGATCCGACTCGTCGTAGGTAAACTGAACGTCTGAAAATATTGTACAACTTTTTAAATCGTACCATTTATTTTAGAATTAATGTTATGTCAACATTGGTAATATATTATTGCAAATAATCTTGTCGATTCTACTGTAAAAAGTACATGTGTACAAAAGATGGCTGATACGAGAATTCTTTATATATCAATTAGCTAGTACAATAATAATAATAATATTCTTTGAAGTAAGTTGAAAATATAAGTTATAAGAATAATATTCTTTGAAATAAGTTACAAATATGAATTATAATAATAATAGTCTTTGAAGTAAGTTAAAAATATAAGTTATAATAATAATATTCTATGAAATGAGTTAAAAATATAAGCTATAATACCGATATTCTATGATGTGAGTTAAAAATATAAGTTATAATACTGATATTCTTTGAAGAAAGCTGAAAATATAAGTTATAATAATAATATTCTTTGAAATAAGTTAAAGATATAAGTTATAATAATAATATTCTTTGAAGAAAGCTGAAAATATAAGTAATAATAATAATATTCTATGAAGTGTGTTAAAAATATAACTTCTAATAATAATATTCTATGAAATGTAAGCTATAATACTGTTATTCTATGAACTGAGTTAAAAATATAAGTTATAATAATAATATCCTTTGAAGAAAGCTGTATATATAAGTAATAATAATAATATTCCTTGAAGTAAGTTACAAATATGAATTATAACAATAATATTCTTTGAAATAAGTTAAAGATATAAGTTATAATAATAATATTCTATGAAGTAAGGTATACTTTAATTTTCTATTGTTCAAAATTCACTGTATCTATGTAAATTTGTATGATATTACGTAGTTTATACAGGGGAATAAAAATCGTAAAACTATTATTGGGATTAATAATACGAGTTTACCGTCTTTCGAGGCTTCTGATGCCACAGGCGTGACAGTCTCCTCGGAAACTCCGCGGGAATAAGTGCCGCCATCTTGAGGGCTTCGATCAGATCCTGAACCTGATCCAGATTCTGTCGATCCTACCAGCGTGAGGGAGCTCAAGTTGCTCGGAGAGGAGGGAGCACTTATTACTGTAGTATCTGAAATCGTGAATAGCGTTTATACTTTTTACACTGGGTACAGTCATACCATGTTACTTTTGTCTTGGAGCTGTAACTACAGTTGCGGTCAGAATTAACACTAAACCTATCAACAGAAATGTAAATATTAATTTCAAATATTCGCTAAATAATCTATGTAACATTGAGATATATAATATATGAAACGTAAGAGAATAATAGTTGAACTACTTTAATTAAATTTAATTCATACCTATTTTCCCTACCTGTTCACTTAATTTTGTCCGCAACTGTACTCATTGAATTTTTCTCTCTTCTGGTGCACCTGGTCAGGCTATTTTCTTACCCGTAAGCGTTTCAGAACTCGACGAGACAGCGATGACTTTTGGTATAGTCAGATGAAACCCGTCATCCCCTTCCTTGGTGTTCGAATCCACTTGAGCGCTATTCTTCCGTGGCGTAGCTGGAGACCCGACAGACGCGATCGACGACTGTACAGTCGGACTGCGTTTTATTATTGGCAGAGCTTCCACGCGTGATTGCTTTTCCTCGTCCGCTGAAACGAATCAACGATCGTCTAAAATAACATATAAATTCTATACGCAGAGAGTGTTCGATTTTATCTCATAAACCCGAATTACTACTCGCTGCGCGTGGTTCAGATTAAAATCGAACATTCTGTACAGTGCGAGTCAATAGTAAATGTCATCGAAAATAACTGGTTGTTTATTACTTTTGGGAGAGATTGTTCTCAGGTAAAAAATACATTTAACAGAACCCTTATATTTTCAGGGATATCAGGGTCACCATGAATTCAATGTACATGTGTCTTATTAGTTGGTCACTTTTCTTTAAATTATTGTCGATTACAATTGCTGTTGACTCGTTTGTGAAATTCATTGAACGACATTCCACTCTTTTATCAGTAATGAAGAGAAACGCACTCTTTTTAGATCCAATTCGCCAGTAACCCTTTGGGTTGAGTGTATATCCACCTGCAGTGAAATCACAGGAACTTTTTACATCGCGGCAGTCGCTTATTTCGGATCCGTAACCTATATGTGTACCAGAATATTAATGATTAATAATTTTATTAATATCACCACAATTCAACATTTGGGGTACATCAATAATTTACAACGAGCACTACTTCAAAGTAGACACTGAGAATTTTACAGTCGTCTCAAGACTGACATCAAAATTTCTATTTGATCACTTTTGGAAACCATTTACCTCCCCTTCCTATTTACGATAACACTTTTTTCGAAATAACACAGATACTTTTCGAATGTCCAGAACAATAACTTTGGCAATGCTAAAAAATCGTTCAAGAAATTATAATTTCCAAGTGAAATAACTTTATCTGTTCAAATATAAATATCGTTACAAATCGAACGGAAACGATTATAAAGTGAAACATGCTCTCGATGAAAGAAGTTTAGTGCATAAATACTCCGTAAGTATTTTTAGATATATTATACCGGAAACGGAACTAGCACCGCTTATTCTTCGCGGCGAGCTGCTGTATCTCGCGTTATGCGACTGAGTCTCCGCCGCGTTGCTACCCAGCACGTCCAAAGACCTGAAAATAAAATTACACTTTCGACACGGGCGCCGAAATGCTCGAAGTAATTTTGAATAATTATGCTTGCTCGAGTGAACCGGTGGACGTCTCAGCATCCGGTGGCTCAGCCTCGTAATATACGTTCTTCAGGGCCTCGAGGACCGTGACGCCGTCGGTGAACACTCGATACGTCAGTAGAAACGTGTTGAGGAAGTCGATGCTGAGGAATCGCAGATCGGTCAAACGTTGAAGTAAACGTTCAGGCGTGGCTGATCGAATGTGCGGGACCTTGCAAGAGTTCAATGTGCCGCTGAATTTAATGTCGACGTCGTCCTTGAACAGCTTCGGGTCGTTCTTCATGGACTGTGGCATTGTGACGGAACTGGTGTCCGACAACGAGCCACAGTGCAAGTAATCGTTGGCGTGTACGTTATCCATACATTGGCTGATGTCGCTGATCCAGGCAGCCTTTTCCTACATCGGTCACAGTTCTCGTCAGATTTACGTTCTTTGTTAGCAAACAACAGTAGGGTGGTCCTTATTTTTCGACATTACTTTTTGACCCCAGATTGTGACAGTGGAAAAAAAGATCTGTGCAAAATTGGAGTGAGATTAGACAAGAAGAACATGTGTTTATACTGCTGTTACACGAGAAACCTTAAGTTAAAGTTTATTATTCGATAATGCAATAGGACGTAACCTTCACACGACTTTGTATACGAAAAATAGTCAAGGTTATTTGAAGGTCACGTTACGTTTTAACTTTGTGGTTAAAATGTACTAGAGTAGGATTTTTTAGCATTTTTTTTCTCCAAAGCAAGTAGGAATTCGGGGGTATGTCCAATGACCAAAAATAATTGTTATTGGCCCCAGGGACTGAAAATAATTTTTTTAGAACGATTTGAAAATTTTTTTTTCGCCTGTCGATTTTACTTAAAAATTCGTCTTTCATTTTTAATAAATTTGGTTCGCGCTGTATAGAAAAGTTGTTTAATACTTTTTCATAGGTACCCATGCAATCTACTTAAAAAAAAAGTTTCATTGAAATGTATTCACTATTGTAAGAATTATGGTTGTTTGAAAATTGGACCATTTTTATGGGGTTTTTCTAACTTTACGGGGTTAAGGAACAATTTTTCGAATATTTTTGAAATTTCTACATATTCTTCGCTAAAATACGCGTCGTTTGCACTTTTAAACATTAAAATCGTCCGATCCGTTCAGGAGTTATGATGTTTTAAAAATTTTCATGAAACTTTAGGCAAACATTTCTGGCCAGAATTTATATTTTCGATGAGGAATTTTTTTCTCCAAAGTAAGTAGGAATTCGGGGGTATGTCCAATGACCAAAAATAATTGTTATTGGCCCCTGCGACTGAAAATAATTTTTTTAGAACGATTTGAAACACATGAAATTTCAGTGAAACATATCAATGTATGGTCAGACATTTTATTTTCGGTGAGGAATTTTTTTCTCGAAAGTGCATAGGATTTCGGGGGTAAGTCTATTCACCAAAAATGATTGTAACTGACAAACAAAAAACTAAAAAGAAATTTTTACCCCTGTAGCTAAGGACCACCCTAACCTACAGTGTCTTTCGAAGCTTTCACGTAAGCTTATAATAATCGTTTTTTTCCTTAGAAACGTGGTTAAGGATCGTACCAAGTATGAATTTTGATTCAAGTTCAGTAGATTTTATATTGATTTAATAATAATTGAGGCTCATGATTCCATAAAGTAGTCGATAATTTCCGATTGGAATATAGGGAACAAGTAAATAAAGTTTCGTCTGGATTGGACAGAAATAGTGAAAGTTTTGGAGAAATCAGAAACGCACAGATTAAAAATTTTAGGTTGAAGACGATTTGTTTTAACCATACCTGTATAGTAGGAGCTACAAGGAGGACCGTTGCTTTAGGTTCGCCTGGTTTCAGGTCGATTAGTATCTTAAAATCACGGTTCTGCAGCTGAGTAGTCGTACTTCCGCTACCACTTCCGCTGCTCTCGCTGATTCCGCTGGACATCGAACATACTGACAGTTCTAAAATCAGTTCGCGGTCGCGGCAATACTACGTTAATTATATAGAAATTATTGTACACCTTTTCACAACAGGCCAGCCAATGCGTAGAAAGCCAGCGCAGTTTCCTAAATAAAATAAGCTTGGGAAATAGGAGGTGGATGCGATTGAATTAAACGCTCAAACGTAAAAAAAGATTCGAAATTTTTTCAGAATTTATTTGCGAGAGTGTTGTCAGTGAATTGGTCAGGACTCGTCGTGAAAAATGAGTCCAAACACGACCACTCTTAGACGTTTTTTTTTAATTTAACATTTTTGGAAATTCTGTTCAAAAATGATTAAAATACAGTATTACTATATGTAGTCTGAACAAGGTCGTGTTTGGACTTATTTTTCTCGAGACAATCTCACCAATCTATCGACACCACTTTCACGAAGATATAAATAAAAAATTGGATTCAGTTCATTTTTCAAAATACGATAAAGAAACGATGCGAGTAAAATAAAATTTGTTGTCTTCGAAGCTGTTAGAATCTCCTAGGAATCTGTGTTCGATTATTGTTGGAAACTATTTACTTCGACGTGTTAAGGCCGAAAGTCATGCATGCTAGCTGCAGTAGCGCCAAAGAACTATTTAAAGCTGCAACTACGTTAGTCTATAAGGCTTAGTTTAATAATAATATTGTCAAAATACCGTCATCATCCGCGGTTCCCTGATCGTTGGGGTCTTCCACTAACACAGCATTGCAAAGAGGTATTTTTCCGATTTGTGGGATAAGATTCAAACGACCGTCGTCGTCCGACTGGCGCGTAGTCAATAACAAATGTTTGGAAAACAGGAAGCACTGTCTGATTGCTTCTTTATCGCTGCTACTTTTGCCTCCGAACGTCGCGCTCAATCTACTTCGTGCACCTTTTGGCTTGTCTATGATCTGGATAAGCGTACCTGAAAGAAACAAGGATACATTAACTCGATAAATACCGAAAATAAATTCACAATGGCGCTGAGAAAATTAATAGTAACAATAAACGACTCAGAAGATTTTCCGTAGAAATCAAGACTTTGAAAAATAATCCATTTTCCAGTTACTCGTATTAAACAACAATGATACTCGAACCTTCATATTATTATTAACTTAGAAAATAATTGTGAATTTCCAAACTGTTCGATTTACATTTTTAAATTTAAGAAAGTATGAATTACCTACGAAATAAAAATAATTTTTAGATACGTTGACACTTAAAAAAAGAATTTAATTTTTAATATATTAGGTCGTCCCATAAGTTCGTGCCGTTCGATATTCTGAAATTGATGAGGATAAAATTTGTAATCTAATAAAAACCAAAGAAAATTTGTCAGTTGAGGTGATTTCTGAAATTTCAAACATAGTAACATAACAATTCATAGAAATTTGAAACGAATAGATATTGTGTCAAAGTTTGGAAATTCACGCTAGCTTATGGAACAAAATTTTCTTAATCGTGGTATCGTCTGTTAGCGTATAATAAAACTGAATCTTATAAGATATAAAATCTAACAATCTCCAGGCTTATTGGTGGATAAACAATTTGAAAATGTCAACGTTTTAATGAAAAGCGTTAAACTAAATTTTAATGAAATATCCAGCAAGTTTTGGAGCGACGATACAATGGCTTTGCCAAAAGAAGGAGTTGTTGAACGAGAAGAGGTTTACTATTTTTCATAAAATTCCATCATATGTTTAAAATATTACTTCAAGTTGCAGTGGAAAACTAGGCACGAACATATGGGACGACCTAATAGAATGTAATAAAATTTTACAACAATAAAATACTGAAATATTTCTGCGTCTTAATTAACGAAAGATAGAAACTCGTTTAACAACCAAAACAACAACAACAACACAGGGGAAATACAACACCAAAGTACCTAAATTTCTTTGATCCCTAACAATGCACTTTCTTCGTCTTTATGGTCCCCGATCTCTTCGATATAGTGTTTAAGAAATGTAATTGGTTTGGAACCGAAGTCACCCGTATTACATTTTCCAAGCACGCTCAATTTTCACCGATCGAACTCCAAAATGGAGCTTGAGTTTCCGTTTATCCACTCGTTGGCCTTCCAGCCTCGTAACGGGACAAACGCGGACAGAAAATTCCGAGAAATTAAAGAATTCAAAATCTTAACCAACGAAGCAAGGAAAAACTTTTTACTGGTAGGACTTTTCCTGCACACTACGAGCGGCGAAAGTATGTTTGCATGGCAGCCATGTGATACGGGACCAAACATGAGGGACCCAGGGCCGTGTCAAGAAGCGTTTTCAAACACGAGACTTTAGCATCTTTATTCAAAAATTTACACTCGAATTTTATATATTTTCCAACGTACCGATCTGTCAATGGATATTTCTCGAGCATAGATAATCAAATTAAATTGTAAATTTAGTTTGCAATTGATATAATATTCGATTCGACTTGGTCAAGAGCGACTGAAAAAGTAGCGCTCGTATTTTGTGTTTTCTGTAATTGTTCAACGTTTTTAATAATTCGCAGGTAATCGTTCGTTGTGAATTCTAATAAAATTTTTGAAAAATTATTATGCGTGTCGCGCCTCTGCCACATCCCTGATAATTGTTCCCGCGCATGATCAAACGGATTCGGCGTAATTTACATGTGCGCGAAATAGAACCCCATCGATTCTGAGAAATCCAAGGGCGCGCTTGCGCCCCTGGCCACGAATTTCCGCTTTTCGTCAACTTCCTGCCGGACCATCGAGGCAACAGCGACCAGCTCGACCGAGATATTATCGACTGTAAAGTCTCTCATCGATTTCAAATCGATGAAAATTTTTTACCGATGTTCACGGTAAAAGGGAAATGCACGTTTCTGATTGAAGGAAAGAAGAAACTTGGCGACAACGGAATTAAAAAAACCATGAAATCAGTATTGAAAATAAATACATGGAATGTAAAATAAAATCAATCGGTGCGTATGTGCTTGCACTTCGATTCGATATAAAAAAAAAAAATAGAGAAATAGTATGAAATTCTATGTATGAAAAATAAATTCTGAGTCTGTTCTGAGAATAGACACAAATGAGGAACCGAAAATGTTTTCTATTAAATTTCAAAAACGAAGTTATAGAAATATTGTAATCGTGCAATTTGAATCGAGAACGTTTCTTTTGTCAAATTTTTTTGTAATTCTGAATGTCTTGTACACTAATCAAATACCTGAATATTAGTAGTAGCTGAATACCTGTTAAATATTTAAATCGCAGCTCTGATTTAAATGCACCCCCAATTCTCGTGAAATAACATTTATAGAAACGTAGAATAGGTCATCGTAAGCAAGTTTTGGGTTACGTTACTTATGTCGCCTCTCCGCAGTCCCTTAATTTAAATGCTAACGTCGCGTTCGTTGCAAACTTTACCCACTTTGCCAGTTTATAAGAACTTTTTACTCCCCTTTATGAATATTCACTATACGCCCAAGAACTTTACCAATACATTCTGCTAATCGTCTTCTGCGCTTGCATGGTACACCTTAGAACACAAAATATACAGGGGATCCCACAAAACTGGGTCAAGACGTTAGAATAATAAAAAATTTCAGCAGAAATAGTTTAAGACAGTGTAACGTGGGTCGTCTCCGTAAGTGAAAAGATATTTTACGCTAAAAATTAATACTGAACACGAGTGAATAGGTACGGAAGGAACATTCAAGTTAGAATGATAAAAGTTCATCATTTTTCATTTATAACAAAAAAGCAGAGATGAACTTGAAACGCATTATATTAATATTTTAATAACGTGGTCAGGCTCGGTTGGAACACCCTGTATACGCCGAAAGTAACAAGATTGCTCACCCTGTCTGACGAAAACTTGATTTACGTCCAGTAAAATGTCACAGCCCTCGACGATCATCCTTTCCACGGCCAAATTTTTCCGTAAATTTTCGGTTTCGCTGACCTGAAAAAGCACGGTACACGTGAACCGAAAGAACAACAAATTAATGTTTTCTCTTTAGAACAGTTAATACTTTTGATCGATACCTCGTCGTTCATTTGCTTCGACAAATTTTCCAACTGTTGCCTCGCTTCTTGCAAGCTTATACGTTCCACGTGCTCGAATGGAGTATGCGCCAAAATCTCGTGCAGCGTAATAATGTACCTTGGAACCTGATTAGATGTTTATAATTTTTAAAATGCCTAACGACAATTGTTGGAATTTTAAAAACTTCGTTTCTGTGATTGTAACTATTGTTTCATTAGATTTTTCATTTTGTGTGTGGAATTGATTATCGTACAATTTTGTTAGAAATAAAGATACATACGTTTAGAAGCTGTTTTGAATATTAGAAAACCGTGAATTGGGCGAGCGTACCTGATTCATAGGATATGTTAGAAAGGTCTCCAGAGAACGTCCTCCGCAAGCAGGCTTGTTCTCCAATCTAGTGAGCAATTTTGCGAACGAAGGTAGCTGCTTGCACCTGGTCAACACTTGAAGACTGTAGTGGTGATTGCGGACAAATTCTTGATAAATTGACAACATTGGTAGCAACATGTCGAACAAATCGCCTGAAATAATCGAGAATAATCGAGAATAATCTTTAAACTGCAAATCACTTTTCCATATTTGTCAATAATTATTTATTCATAACAAACGCTTGTCTACGTTTTCTTGTCGCTCCTTCAAGTACCAGAGAGTGTAAATATAATAATTTCAATTTTTATTTAAGTCCAAAGTCCGACACGGCCTCTGTACCCTATTAAGACTTTTATAAAGGTACAAATCTAGACTTTTAACGAGGTGAGTCTATATTTACGGATTACTTCCAGAAATCGATACTTTTATACTATGAGAAGCAAAATTAACTTCATAGGAATTGTTTGACTGTTACAATATTCTTAAATGTAAATGTTTACAGTAAAATTATTGCAAATATATTTTTTTGAAAATCAATGAAACGAGTTCATGAATAATATTCGTAGTTAATTATGAATCGTAACTGTTATGCAATGAAAACAAATGCATTCGTATGCTCCTAATTCCATAGAAGTTGCAGCATTTCATGGTTAGCTGAATTTTGTTATGTGTTTTTCGTAAATCAGCTGTGTTTTTGCTTTGTGCAATTAACGATGGCTTACCTAAAACTAACGTGGGCCAATTCTCCATACGAGATATGAGACCCTTCAGGAAGATTTGATGGAGAAACAACAACGTTTCGCTATTCAGGAATATACTGTTCACATCCTCGTGGCTACAAGGTGGTTTCTTCGAGCTCGCAGCCATCTTGAAAGGCCTCAGGAAACAAGTCACTAAAATCTCCATTTGTTCCCCGTATTCCTCCTCAGCCTCCACCATTTTAAACACCAAACTGAAATACAATGAATATTCCGAATGTAACGAACCCTCTTGTACTTCATTTCTCAATATAACCTCTAAATAACTGCAAAACGAAACAATTGCTTTTCGTGAATATCTGCAGTTACGGTTAATTACAAAATTGTTGAATTCGTGCTTTTATTGCCCGCAATACGGTCCATTTTTTAATTCGATGTATGCTTAGAGATCGAAGGCGATCGTTACGAATTGTTTCTAAAATAAATTCTAAATCAAATTCCAGGAATGAAACTTATTCTCACCTGTTTCGCTTTCGCATACTTTCCGCGTGAGGGCTTTTGATGTACTCCTCGACGATTTGTTTCCAACGTCTACGGCACACCCAGCCCCGGATGAAGCTTTGTACCTTTTTAACTTGCTCGATCTTCAACGATCTCTCGGTCATATCTTGCGAAATCAGTTCTGACGTCTGAATGTCAGTGGACGTCTGAAACTCCCATCTCGTGACGTGCGTTACGGACGTGCGTCTACTCTTTTTCGTCACGGAGAACAACTGTGGAAACAAAGCACCGCGATTCGAGCACGGAAACTTAGATCGAACCTGTTCTAAAAATTCTGTTCGTGACTAAATATTGAAAATAACAGAGACTGAAAACATCACCCTATGTTTAGGATAATCCAGAATTTTACTTTATAATTCAACAACCAAAATGGTCGCAGGAGTAATGCAAAAGCAAGTCTGAGATATAAAATGAAATTGTTCATTTTTTTCTTTGACAAGTTTTAAACTTTCTGAATTTTTTTTCTCGAAAGTGCGAAGGATTTCGGAAGTATGTGTATTCACCAAAAATGATTGTAATTGACCCCCTCGACAGAAAATAATTTTTCCAGAACGATTTGAAAATTTTTTTTTCGCCTGTCGATTTTACTTAAAAATTCGTCTTTCATTTTTAATAAATTTGGTTCGCGCTGTATAGAAAAGTTGTTTAATACTTTTTCATAGGTACCCATGCAATCTACTTTAAAAAAAAGTTTCATTGAAATATATTCATTATTGTACGAGTTATGGCAGTTTGAAAATTGGACCATTTTTATGGGGTTTTTCTAATTTTACGGGGTTAAGGAACAATTTATCGAATATTTTTGAAATTTCTACATATTCTTCGCTAAAATACACGTCGTTTGCATTTTTAAACATTAAAATCGTCCAATCGGTTCAGGAGTTATGATGTTTTAAAAATTTTCATGACATTTCAGGCAAACTTTTCTGGCCAGAATTTATATTTTCGATGAGGAATTTTTTTCTCCAAAGTGAGTAGGAATTCAGGGGTATGTCTAATCACCAAAAATAATTGTTAGTGGCCCCTGCAACTGAAAATAATTTTTTTAGAACGATTTGAAACACATGAAATTTCAGTGAAACATATCAATGTATGGTCAGACATTTTATTTTCGGTGAGGAATATTTTTCTCGAAAGTGCGTAGGATTTCGGTGGTATGTCTCTTCACCAAAAATTATTGTAATTGTCTCCTGCGACCGAAAATAATTTTTTCAGAATGATTTGAAATTTTTTAATTTAATTTTTTAACAACCTTTCAACGAAGCCCCAATCAAGAAATTTATATTCTTGATTTTCGTCCTGTTTTGATGTCTAGAATCTCTCAACGCCCTGTATATCGTTTCATAATTTTCACTGTGTTGACAAGTCAGAAATCTTATTTTCTTACTTACTTCCGTTCGAAGCTTCTTCACTTCCGACGCTAGATCTTCGCACTGCTGTACATATTGAGATTTCTCCGTCTTCTCGCTCTCGATGATCTGCAACAGGTGCAAATGTTTCTGCTCGAGCTTCTCCTTCTGCAGCAGCAACTTGTTGAAACTGTAACCAGCAATTAAATAGTCGTTGAGATAAATAAAAAAGTGAAACGAAACGATTATTGAACGAAACATTCAAGTAAATCCAATTATTCTTTACGGTTTTCGTCGGTTACGTCTCGAGGGTGTTCGAAAAAACATTTCTGTACCTCCATTTATTCGTAAGAAAATCTTTATTTATTAGATCTTCGTAAATATTGATCCAACGTTCGCTTCTGCCGATCGTACGCAATTACGTGCACGGAATATTCCATTTAAATTTAGTATTCGAGACATAGTATATAAAATACCGAACACCCAATATCGTTCACGAGACTGGGAATTTCACAGAGGGAATAATGAATAGCAATTTCGTGGGAGAAAAAATTGCCTAAAAATTGTTCCGCGGGAATGAAATCGCTTCGTGCAATTAATTTTTGTCGCGGCTTGGATCGCGTTACGAACGTTCCGCCCCAGGTGGACGAAGTCGATCTCGCGGTACAACCATGATTCGTTCGCGATACCGTCATTTAAATTATTCCACTTTTGAACCCTGAATTATGTACGGTACGGTTACCTGGCTTCTCGTATGGCATCGATCCAGGTTGTGCAGTCGGACTCCGTGGTTGCTTTCAGCTCGTATTGCCTTTGATTTTCCCGCCTATAGGATATCGCGAAACAATTCTGAAACGATAAAACGACCTGAATTAGTAATGCTGAATATCAGAGAATAAATTTCAATCCGTTCGCGGTTACTGGCGACCCCGTTGACATTTCACAAACTTTTTATTTCAAGCACGATCTTCCAAAATAACAAAAATATTGTAAGAAACGATCGAACAAACTTGCAGAAAAAGCAGAAAACTCACAACGCAATGAGTTGTTATTTTTTCCTTGGACGTCCAGTTTTAATGATCTCAAGAAAAATTGTAAATTATTAAAGAAAGAATAAACAATTTCTGTATACTGTTGTATTTATAAGTAAAATATTTTAAACCTAGGAATAATAAAATAGTAAACAGTGATATTTGAGTAGCAAAAATAAAAAAGTGAACAATGGTGTTTAAGCTTAAATTGGAGAAACAAAATAATAAATTATAAAATAAAATGAAAGGAATTTTGTAATTGTAAACTGGTGGACGTAATTAGTTCCTGGTATCGTGGCTGTACACGAGAATAAACGGTGTAATGAAATTGCCAGCAAACGTCGTTGCAAGCACGATTCACGTGCCCCGGGCTTAGGTTGACAACCTCATAAACCGTCAGCCATGGACGACGAGAGCAGACCCAGTCGCTATTCCCAGAATTTACCACCGACAATTTCAGGAATTCGTGACTAGTCGCCCTTAAAAGGTACCTGCTGTCCAATCAATCAGAATAACCGGACGATACCTTTTATCAATTCCCCTTTAACGTCCACAAACAACGTATCAGGACTCCAGGAATCCCCCGATACCCTCTAACGCGTGGAACGTTTGACCTAATTGCAGAAAAAATAAACAGGAAACCGCCCGTATTTATCAGATTCGTACGTCAGAAGTAAATTTTATCCAGAGCTCAACAAATTATTCCATCGAAGCCATTTGCACCGACAGTTTTCCCCCCAACGGAATATTAAACGAAACATTCCGCGTTTATCGAACTTTATTAACATGGAAATGGAAACATAACACGGTTTCGAATTGTGTAAATTGTTCGAATGTTTCGATCGCTGATACTCGATCGGGGAATATTTCGTTCGAAGACGTCCACGCTGGCCATGAAGATAACTATCGAGAAATGGTTTGTTAATAACAAAATGAGTCGAAAAGGAAGAACGAAATCTTTTCGCGCGAAGCTTTGTTTTCGAGAAAATTGAATTTGAAAGTGAAAGTGGAAATATCGAGCGATGGTCAGACTTGGACGCTCGGAGGAAGTAGAAATATCGAGCATTGGTCGGACGAGACAGCCAAATCATATTCAAGCATCGTATGGAAAAATGTTATCATATCATATCTCTTTGGGGTATCCTATTCAATTAATAACATATTTTAAAACACATTTACGAATCAAGATTAGACTATAATCACTGCTGTCATCCAACGCGTGTCCTTTAGTGTGATTTTACGGACAATTGATAACGTCAAACGCAATTCAACGTTGTATTTTGCTTGTTCTGATTGTCCAATCCGTTCAGGAGTTATGATGTTTTAAACATACTCATGAAATTTCATTAATGGTCAGACATTGTATTTTAAGTATAGAATTTTTTTTCTCGAAACCGCGTAGGATTTCGGGGATACGTCTATTCACCAAAAATGATTGCCATTGACCCCCGCAGCCAAGAATATTTTTTTCGGAACGATTTGAAATTTTTTTTGTAAAATTTTTCGGCGGAAAAAAGAAATTTCAAATCGTTCTGGAAAAATTATTTTCGGTAGTGGGGGCCAATTACAATTATTTTTGGTGAATAGACATACCCCCGAAATCATGCGCATTTTCGAGAAAAAAATTCAGTACAGACGGAACTTTAAACGTTAATAACTTTTTAACAAAGCCTCGATCAATAAATTGGTATTCTTGATATTCGTCTTATTTTGGCCTCCGGAATCTCCCATTTAAATTTTTGCTCAGATTTGGTCGAACACCCTTCATATTATGAAACCTCTTCGACAAAATGAATAGTTTTCCATTGAAAATAATTAAATAATATTGTAAAATTTCAATGGAACACACAAGGTTTCGAAATTGACATGTTCGATGTAAAGAATCTCGAGTATCGCCTAATTGTCAGGACTCGAGACTTGGCATTAGATTAGAAAACTTGACGGAAACGTTAAATTAAACTGTTGCTGTCGCTCGTATGATAGATATCTATTTTCTCTGTAGACAGGTAATGCGATCGAAGCATTACTGGAGAATATAGCAAGTCACGGAGTCGGAAATGAAGGGTCGAGAGTAATACGGCCAGAATCCCACGAGCGTCTTGCAAAAAGCTAAAGAAGATAATCGATGAATGTGCCTCCGCGAAGACTTCTTTTTACCACTTTTGAAAGAGTAACGATCCCCTGTCACCGTAATCCTCTTCGTCGTCGCAAGATATTCCGCGGGCGCAGTAATGACGCACAGGGAAAAGCAAAAGTGTTAAAATTCCCCGCTTTATTTATTTACTTATCAAATCTGCAACCATAACGTTTATGGAAAATCGTATCGTCCTCTATTTTCTCCATAACGATGTTTAAAAAATTTGTTTAAATTGTTTGAAAGAGAAATGTTAAAATAATCTATTATCTTGTTTGACTAGATGTTAATACTGTTCTTTTACATTAATTGTTCATTATATTATTATAATTTATTTAACCAAGCAATCGATTGATCCTTTATTACCAAATGTTATTGAACAGTTGTTAAGATTATGCCACAGTATTATGATTTTATTACCCAGTTAGGTATCAACAGTTTATAAGAATCGCCAGGAGCACTCAGGCTGCCAATTAACAATAGTCACAGAATTTAATTATTCACAGAAGCACTCTAGCTGCTGTATCAATCCTGCAACCACTTAGACTTTAATTAATTAAAGGTGCAATCAAGTTTTATCGGCCTTCGGTGCCTCTGAATCAAATTACTGAACAATTCTGTTCAATTTCCTGAGTTTGCACGGAATTCGGCGGAGCACAGTATTTTTCGTACACGTCCACATTTATATTTTACAATAATTATGCATTTTGGTCGACCATAAGCTTGCCAAGCATTTGAAAAATGATCATTAAAATGATATGTCATCTTGGCTGGATGTTATTTGAAATATTCGATTTATCTTTCGAATAGTTCTCCATAATACAAACATTCTTGCAATAAGATTTTGAAAATTGTTGAAAAGCATTGTGACGTATCCTGTCCAACTCATATTTCACTAGAAATTAATGAAATTGTTTCAAAGTATCTTTAAATGCACATTTAAGATTACAATTTAAAATCACTGTCCTTGGGAATGCACTTTTGTTTGTTAAAAAATACAAATAAATAACTTTAAAAATTATCTAATATTTTATTGGAAAAATAAGAATAGCACATTGCTTTTTAATATGTCCAGTTCGACGTAAACGAGATTTTTACAGCCAATGAAGGGCAGAAAATTGCCAATCGTCTTTCGTTTCCGGTACCGTCGCGCGGCCATCAAACGCGTGGAAAAACTTCTGATTTTTAAGGAAAATTGGGTTGCGAGAACTCCGTCAGCTGCATGATTTCTATCATATCGGTACATCGACGATGTAATACGACTATCGATCATTTTAAAATTTATTTTTATCGATACACTTCTTCCGTTCTACTTATCATAACGCAAAATTCTTCGCGAGGCCAAAATGTGTTTCACGACATTTCTGACTTCCATTTAAATACCAAAGGAAGCAGAAAACCATAACAAATTCTCCATTTATTATCTCCAAGTGGATATTGCGAACGATGTTCTACGACATTTGCAAACAAATAATTCATAACACGGAGATACATAAAGTTTGAATTCGAACAGTCGATTTCAAACGAAACTGACGCAAAACTAAAATTTTTAATCGTTCGGTTATTTCCTTTGTAATATAACGAATAAATAGGTGTTGATTTCATTTCAGAATGACAATTTTTAATTCCATATCCGTCGAGTGGCCAAAGCGTGTTTGAAAATGTTTGTGAAAGAATTTTCTACGGATTTGTCAGATGCTCCGCGAGCTCCAAAGGATTAAATCTCTCGCGTGCACACGTCGTGCGGATGCCACGTGTCGTTAAACGTCAAAATATCCACTCTTAGAATCCGTTCGCCGGCATCGCTATTTTCCACGGCGATCGATGGCCCAGAATAAACATTCGCTTGATCCTGCACGTTCTGTTCTCAAACACTTGTCGTTCATACTCTGTTGCACGGTCCACAAAGGATTGCAGTAAGTATAATATTGCGTTCTTCAGAGTGCATATGGGAGTCGGCGAAATTGCTTTGTACTTTCAGCGAGCCACTTTCCCCGGATCCAATCTACAAAGGAAGGACACGAGCTGTCCGACTTCGATCGTAATGTGCGTTTGGGGAACGATAGAGATCCCTTTTGGTCCACGTAAAACATTAGGTGTGCTCAATATTTTAAAGCGACACATATCCTTTAAAGGGCCACGAATTATAATCGACGAAACATGTATTAAACGTTCTGACATATTTATCACGTATTATTCGAATGTAATTTCTCAATCTCCAAATATATAATTTCTTATCTCGGAACCCTTTCATTTTTATGTGAAACCTTCTCTGTCGTCGCTAACTTGAACGATCCTCGCGTACATGTATTAAATGTTCTGACATATTTTTCACGTATTATTCTAGTGTAATTTCTCAATCTCCAAATATAGAATTTCTTATCTCGGAACCCTTTCATTTTTATGTGAAACCTTCTCTGTCGTCGTTGACTTGAACGATGCACGCGTACATCGATTAAAAACGATCACCCTTGGATAAAAACATATTTCTGGGTCGATGGACGAATCAGAGCTGCTCAGATGGCCGAATCCTGCAGAACCAATAGAGAAGGTCGAACGTCCACGAACAGTCGACGGCTCCCCGACGGGCGAAGAAATTGGAGCAAAATGGCCAGTGTAAATGTTTAACCAAGGCCAGGGGGAAAATAGTTAACCCAGCTGGTGGAGAGCAAAGTCTCGTAGGG